TACGTAAGAATTCAGTTAAATGTTTGGCATTCATTTTTATAAACACTACCTTAATTGCTTACATATTGAAGTCAGATGATTATATGTTCTATCCATTGATTAAAAACTATCCTAAGACGACGTAAGTTGAATAGATAGGTCAGATCATCTGACTCAATATATTCGATTAGAAGCATTTAATAATAGTTTTATATATAGTTTATCCGTTTAGAAAATAAAACAATCCTTTGAAATACTTTCCATATTGTAATAATCACCAATGTTTTTAAATCAAATGATTGTTACAGATACTTGTATATTTGCTTGAATGGTTTAACTGTTAGGTTAAAGTGACTATTGATTCAACCACTTGGTATTAAGTTCAAACTTTTCTTCACCTACTTTGGTTTAAGCAGTCTCATAATATAACTAGCCCCCAAATATAAAATGTGAATCATAGTCAAGTGAATAAATCTGTACTTGGAAAATGAGTTGCTTTAGCGATTATCAATCATTCATAACGTCAACTAAGATGTAATATTTTCACAAAAAGTCTAGGATTTCTAACCTTTCATTTTATTTTATATAAGATTATGGACTTCATTCTTTGTATTTATTTAGTACTCCCAGTCAGATACAGAGTACTCCATTTCAGTTTCAAGTAGTCTCGACACAGTGTTTCAGTAAGTTAACTCTTGTCAGTCTAGTATAACGGTTTAGAAGTTCTTTTTAAGTGATTTTGCCATAACAGTGATATTTAATAAATATGGTAACTATTTTATGACTTATAAAGTCCATGCTAGTTTCTTTAACCAATGATGATTGGTATTATGAAAATAATGATTATCTTTGTAGTTGTAAATGAAGTGCATATTCTAATGAATTTAGATCTAGTTGTAATGCATATACAATCTTGTTGTATCAAATGCAAAATAACTCAAACTAGTTCATATGTAATAAATTTAAAGATGGCAAAATAATAATAACAAATGAAGATGGAGATTCTATTTTAATTCGAAGTTGAAATACGAAGAATATCAAATATTTGTATAAGAATTTCGAAGGAATAACAAATTGATGAAACACCAATTTAGTTCTGTTTTCGGTGAATTCATTTTCAAAGCTGTACAATCACAACTACATACTTATTTTTTAAAATGATAATAATGACAATAAGTAATAATAATATTTTGCTAAACATGGTAACAGTGAAGTAAAATAAATAAAGATATAAAAACGTTATTTTTATTAAGTGAACCATGTGTAGCAGAATTCTATCGTCACTTATCCTAATTAGTCTCATTCTGAAAAAAGTATATATCTGCCATTGTACAGCTTTGAAAATGAATTCGCCGAAAAGAGAACACTTCACTGAAATAATATTTCTTATTTTCTTTCAGCGAATGTATTTCGTTTACCAACTTAGTTAACCGTTTAAATGAAGGTTACGATGAAGACTTCTAGTGATTGGAACTTTTGATGAAATTCTACTGTCCATGTTCAATACAATTTCATATTACTATATTCTTTTTGATCTAATATTAATTTGATTGAAAATTTGTGTAGCAATAAAACTAAACTAATGCTTACGACCCACTTAAGTCTTAGCTGGAGAGAAGGATATCTCATGAAGGTACCAAAGAAAGGAAGCATGACTTGATTGTGAAAACCTCGACATCTGAGGGGAAGCACGGAATACAATGGACAGCTTGCATGCAACTAGACGATTTGGAATTCTCAGATCACTTAGCCAACCTATATCATACACACGAGCAAGTGCAGGTCAAGACAACCACCGTAGTAGAAGCCTCTGCATCAGTAGAACCCAATATACACAAGGGAAAAAACAACATCCTTAAATACACTACAGAGATCCCTTTATTCTTCAACTCCTATGGCAGCTCACGTATGGTGGAAACTCAGACCTATCTAAACGATCTCGGGTCACCAACTGGTTGAAAGTTGGATGCTATAACCGAAAACAAATACTAGAAGTCTTCCTGAAACTAAGTATACCATTCAAAATGGCTGCCTTCAACGTTCGCACACTAATGCAGATCGGAAAACAAATAGGGTTGGTTATGTCTTTAGAAAGTCTTAATATCGATGTTTCTTGTCTATCCGAGACCCGTACTCAAGGCTCTAGTGAAATAGTACAAATCCACTCTCCATCAGTCTCTTCGAAAAGCTTGTTTCACGTGCGTTTATCCGGGGACCCTGTGGCATCTTTGTCTGGTCTTGCTGGCGTTGGTGTCACACTAAGTGCCAGAGCTGAGGCAGCAGTAACCGATTGGACCCCGCTTAGTAGTGGAATATGTGCTCTTAGGTTAGAAAGCTCTATCAAAGTTAGGAACGATGTCTCCAACTACGCTCCGACCGATTGCAGCCCCGATGCAACCAAGGATGAGTTTCACCACCAGTCAACAGAAACTGCATTCGATATATATTGTAGTGCCAGCCGGAGACTTGAATGCACTGATCGAGCGTTTAGGTGACGATGGGGACCTGTTGACCCCAGATAGATAATGGTGGCCATCTGCTGCAAATTTGCACAGAATAAAACGTGTTTTCCTGGCTAGTAACAACTATTAGTACAGTCTTCGCCGATGCGCTACCTGGAGGCCCTCTCTGCATCTCAAGCCTGAACTGAGATTGACCACGTCACGACCACTAACCTCTAGCGTGGTTGTGTGCATAACTTCAGCTCCTTTTGGAGTACTTTTATGGATTCTGATCAGGCCCTCGTTTGCTCTAATCTTATCTTACGTTTCAGTGGCCAACAAATTAATCGCCCTAAACAGATTGATGTCCACAAATTAGTTGCAGCTTCTGTTAGAACTAAAGATCAAGCCGAGTTAGGTTCAAGGTTAGCTATCAACCCACTGGAAAGTGTAGATGAGCATTCGCTACGACTGCATCACGCCCTGGTTAGGGTCCTGGAGATGGTGCAACACAGTGGCAATCGTGATGTAACTTTCTTCCTAACTGAACTGTTCCTGCCATTATTATTTCACTCTCATACAGTAATTCATGTTAATTGTTGTTCTTTTTTATTATACTGACCTTCTTTTCTATCTCTCTCTACGACACTTCATCTTTATTGTGTGCCATATATACATTCTAGTGACCCCTTGTACCAATGTTTATGTGTTCAAATAAATAAATATTCTAAAGTAATTTAGGTAAGAGAATGATATGAATGAATAAATTTACTACAACTATTTACTTGTATATTATAAGGTATGAAGAAAACCGTAGGGATGTGGCAACTAAATTTAACCCAATTCGTCAGTTTTTGTCAGGGAATTAATCTGAATTATGATCCTCATACAATAGATATGGTTCATAACCCAATAGGAATCAAAATGTTTATTTTTTATCAATATGAACCTGTTCAACTGCTTTGCAAAAAAATTTACTACAGAATATTGCAAAAAAGTGATCAGCTTGTAGTAAGCAATACAATGACTTTTCTTACACAAATAATGGATTGATCTATAGCTTTACGAATGTTCTTTTGAAGTGTATAGTAATCAATTACAGTTAATAATGATATACAATTTCAAGTTTAAGTACCTAATGGCAATTTCATAAAATAAATTATAAACATCGATATTCTCAATCATATGATATAAGTACCAGATTTTATTCACTATGATTATTGATTGATGCATCATACGTAATCCTGTGATTCTTTGTATAAACTCAGCCTAAAGCAATTCCGTTATATTTTTCTGCAGTATTTTTACTACGTAACTTACTATTAATAGACATAAGATATCAATAACACTTCTGATAAAAATAACAAACCATACACAGACAGTTATGCTCTCAATTAGTACACATTCAAACAAAATTTGTTTAGTTCTTACCACATTTCCAATTTTATGTATGCAGGTAACTACTAATGACTAGTATGACCCTGGTCATGGTTCTCGAGCAAAAAATATTTGTTAGTAAGATTAAACTAAAACGCAACACTAAATCACAACCCACAAAACGACTAATATTTATATTAAAAGCAGAACTAGCATAATAAAATAATTGGGGAACTACACAGTTTAGAATTGTTTTGCATCTCATGCATCTTCAATAATATCGACTATTACCCTAAATAAGCTTGGACTGGATTATCAAATAATTTAGGAGTAATTTCATTTTAATTATTGAGGATTTTATGAATAATAATTTCCGTACCCCCAACACAATATTTGTGAAACAATTAGTGAGAACTTGACGAAAGTTCATGCTAAATACTACCATGAATAATAATGTTATTTTCTTGAGATGTGTATATAGAAATAATCACTAAAAATCATGCAGATTAACTAGACAGTGCAATCTGAAAAATAGGCGCTAACCAAAGTAGATTCAAACACTTCAAATTTCAGAATCAATATAACAACCGTTTCTTTTACGTGGATCGTAATTAATTTTCAGGAGGTAAACTGGACGTTAACTCTTAATTAAAAAGGATCTGTGAATCAGCTCAAACTGGTAGGATGGTCAATAGCACGGTATTGCACTATTAACGTTGCACTGGATATGATAGTCTTATTCTTGATCAAAGAAACTTTATTTAAAGTAACATGAATCCTAAAATAAAACTGTCCCCTATTCTTTTTCAGAATGATAAAGCATAATTTCTAGGAAACGTGATCAGTGAAGTTTATGCTATGATAGATCTTATTCGTGCATTTTTTTGAGTCAGCTTTCCAATATCCTAGGACCTAGAAGCATATCTTGGCCAACTTCATGTAAAATTAGATCGGTACATTCGTACAGAAACAGCTGACAGTAAAAATAAGCCCAGAAACTTAACAAGGTTTCACAAGGATTTTAAGACTGATATAGATTAGACATAACAGCATGAGAATTCCAGTCCGATCCTCATAATATTCACGCATCGCCAAAATGATAGAAGCTTTGCCGGTAGCTGATATGATCTAAACCCTAAACTAACCCTAACTACCTGATAGTAATAAAGTAACACTTAACGGAAATCAGTCAGAGTGAAAATGTTTTCCATAAGAATATTCTTATTGGGAATCAAATATAAGTAATTAATTACCAAGGTATGTGCACAAATTAATATTACTATAAAATAAGAGCAATGTTATACTGAAACTGATTGGCTTTTTTAGTACGGAAAAACACGGAAATAAAAGTAAAGTCTGAGTTACTTTAGATATAGACATGTGCAAAAAACCTCAATCTTTCCACCTCTATAATGAAAAAAATATTGCGAGCTTGAGATATTGTTGATATTTAGTTGGAAACCTGAGGTACAAATAAAATTAAGCAACAGCTTGTCTCGTGGATACAAAGAATAGAATCATGAATATTACTGTTTTTCTGTACAGTGTAAAATAAACTCAAGTTATTTTATAACTAGAAAGCCCATGTGATGTTAAAGATTGGCAAAAAAATATTCAACTGCGAAGGGCAGCCAAACGTGCATCCATTTCTGTTTCACCATCATCCTGAACTGATAAAACGGAGAGTTCAGTTTGTGCTTTAGAAACTGAGAATGGATCGTATGCGGGCTCCGGAGCTTTACCTAACTGACCAGCCGTCAGATCCCATAAAACTTTATCAATTTCAGCAGACACAAAATCATCTGTATTTTCGACAGAACCGATTGGTTCGAAAGTGTCACTGATCATTTCTTCCATGATACCAGCTTTCATCATTTCTTTACTTAAATTTTGCATTGTGGATTGAAGTTCAGGTAACTATAAAATGAAAAAAAGATTTATAGATTCTCTGATTACGTCCCTATTAATACTCTAATGGACGAAAATATTTTATACTATAAATGGGTAAAGATACAAAAATATGTCGACAAGGATAATTTTCCAAATCATTAAGAATCAACTATCACAGAAACTCAGTCACGTCAGTTACAACGCGAAACTTGGTACATATATACATTGGTTCAAGTTGCCATACACCGTTAACAGAGGAATGAAACTTTTAGGCCAAATCCCAGAATAGTAGAGTTAGTAACTGAATCAGTGATGACTAAAATGACTAGGCGTTGAAGATACGATATAAGAAAGTATGAATTAGTGGAATAAAACAGAAAAAACGTTATGAAGGTGTTAGCGGGACATAGACTAGATTAAAGCATGCTCAATGCATGATTGTTTTGGTGCACGCTGATTGGCTGATTCTTATCCAATCAGCACTAGTCGATAGTCGGAGAATATTCTGGAATCTTCTTATGTAAAAACTATAAATATACCGACGTTTTCCCCTATTGTGCTTCCTACTGGCTTCTGACTTGCTATTTGGAATATAATCTTATTCCTGTTCAACCGTGTTCTGATTTGGGGACTTGTCGAGTGAATCGGTGTCCGAGAATACTAAGCAATAGGAATAGCTGGGTCATAACTGTAAGAAAAGACAGAGTTATAACAGAAGGATTTGGAATATCAGAATTTGGTGGAAGACAAAGAACGAATGCACCTGAGCCATATCATTCAAAGTCTCACCCATCACCGTTCACGATCATTGCGTAGGCTTCTTGTCAGCTTGTGTTTAAGCTGAATCCGCTCTTCGTTATGTTCAGAGCCAGGTGGAATGAGTTTTCGAGCATCTATCAGTGCGATAGATGCTGCTGAGATCCAGTGTTGCTCCCTAATCTTGTAGTTTACCGTACTAGCAGATATCATTGCTGTTTCCACAGCTTTTCGGATATCATTCCATGTTGCCTCGGGGTGGGCATCACTCACATGGCTGCCTAACTGTTTTTCTAGTTGTTCCTGAAATATACTCTTAGCTTGACTTTCATTAAGTAGGGCCCTAAGAGGTTTCATTGCAGCGTCTTTCCTACGTCCAGTAAGATGCAGACATATACGTACTCGCACTAGAGCATGATCTGAGTCTAAGCATGTGCTCCAGAATGAGCGACAGTCTTCTATCGAGCCCCTCCACCGGTGACTGATAGCGATGTGATCTATTTGGGTCCAACGTTGGGACGAATTAGGGGGTCGCCATGTTAAAAGATGTTTTTCCTTATGTTTAAAGTTAGTATTTGCAAGAAACAGGCGGTTATCTGAGCATAGCTGCAACAGACGGTCGCCATTATCTGTTCTTTGAGCCACGACACCATAAGATCCACCTAGGTGTCTTTCCCTTTCGCTTAGTTTACCTACTTGAGTATTAAAGTCACCAGCCACTATTACTACATCCGAGCGCCTAGCTTTTCGCAGAAGGTCGGAAAGCTTTCTGTAAAACTCATCTTTTACGTCATCTGAGATGCAGTCAGTGGGAGAATAGGCAGAGACGACGAAGAGGCAACGACGAGTGTCCCTATCTTTCCGAGTCCTTGCTGTTCCGTTTAGTCGGACAGCGCACAAACGACTGTCTACTGGGATTCACTCTAAGAGAGCTAGTTCTGCCCTAGGACTCAATGCTATACCTACGCCGGCTAGGCCACGGGAAGCAGAATCAGGGCTTCCAGATACACGAAGCGTAAATCGAGTCCGTTATTTATTTTGGCATGGTGAGGTCAAATGAATGACGCCACTTGGATCCTTTATGCGCGTTTTAGAGACGCAGCACACATCGATGGCGTGAGATTCCAAAGTCCTAGCTAAGGAAGCCTGTTGTTCTATTTGGCACAGTGTTCGGATGTTAAAAGCTCCTACGTGTAGTTTAGAGCGTGGTTTCAAGAGACCAGGAATAACGTTCCGCGTACGCGAATCGTTTGCCCTAGCGGTGCGGGGTGATAAAGGGGCGTGAGAAGGATTAGTCGTGGAGTTAAGAGAGATATTAGGAAGTGTAGGAAGGATTTGAGTGAAACCAATTTCGTCTCGTTTGCTGTTACGGGTATGAGAGCTGATGTCACTTCCCGGCTGCCCACACCGTGGAAGGGTATTTCCTGAGGAACCTGAAAAGGAAGTTGGATTAATGGTGGCCTTAACGACTCGGGAGCGTGACCGCAGAGCTCAAGGGACAACTGCTTGAGGCCAGTCGCGCACGGACTTATCGTGGGAGGTTTTTAATGTGTTAGCTCCGTTCTTCAAAGGGCCTTACCGCCGGAGACGGAAATCCGTGAGGTAAGGTGAGGTATGACATTTTTAGGATCGACCTTTCCTAACCCCTTCCTTCCTTGTGAGAAGGCAGCATCACTGCAGATGCTGGTTGTCCGAGGGGAACACCTTACTGCTGTCACACCCCTCTACAGTCAGCAGTACGACTTCGCCCTCAGACCTTGAGTTGCTGCTTTGAGTTTTACCGTTCTCCAATCGACCTGCCTGACATTGTAGGACCTACAGGAACATATGTTCCAGTCAATATAGCTCGGTTGGGTCATCACGATAGGCAAGCCCGACCACCGCGTCAAGGTGGCAGCTACGGTCGGGACGATGACTAGTGACAATGTGATCTATTCGAGTACATCGATGAGTAGACCGTGTAGTTCACCATACCAGACGATAATTCTTCTTATGTTCAAAGTTGGTATTTGCTAGAAATAGACGGTTATCTGAGCATAATTGCGACAGACGGTTACGATTGTCTATTTGGTGTGCCACAACACTGCAAGATTACTCTAAGTGCATTTCGGTTTGGTCTAGTTTACCTACTTGGGAATCAAAATTACCTGCCACTATCACTACATCAGACAGTTTCGCTTTTTGACGGAGGTTGGGTAGCTTCCTATAAAATTTATTATCATCCAAGCTGAAGCTCAGTGGGAGCGTATGCAGAGACAACGAAAAGATAATGGCATATGTCTCAATCTTCTGGAGATCTTACTGTCCCGTTTAGTCACAGTGCTCAAACAGTCCAAAAGAGCTTATTTCTCTTTCGAACTTAATGCTGTACCTAATCAGAGGATAGACGGGAAGTAGCAGTGGAGTACATAGATGCAAGAAGATTAAATCGCTCTGGTTTTTTATGTTGACAACGTGAGGTCAGATTAATGATCGTACTTGGATCTTGTATGTGCTTTACGGAGACGCACCATATATCGACGACGCGAGATTCTTCAGTTCTTGCTAAGGAAGCCCGTTGTCGTATTTGACACAATGTTCAAACATCAAAAGCTCCAACATGCAGTTTAGAACGTGGTTTCAGGAGACGAGGAATAACATTTCGTGAACTTGAATCATTATCACTGATGGCGTTTAGTGTTAAGGATATATATGGGTTAGTCGCGTAGATGGAAGAATTATCAAGAAGTGAGGGAGGGATTTTATCGTCAACAGGATGATTTCAGTTGCTGGTAGAGGTATAAGGGTGGTTATCGCTTCTCGGTTACCAACACTGTGGAAGGATATTTCTTTAGTGGTCTTAAAAGGGGTGGAATTAGCGGTGGCCTTAACGACCTTGAGAATGAGCGCAAAGCCCAAGAAACAACCGCTCAAGGCTGGTCGCACACGGCTCTTATGGAGTTTTTGATGCATTAGCTCCTCATTTCACAAGGCGTTACCGCTGGAGACGGAAACCCATAGGATCAGGTGTGACATTTTTGGGCTCGACCTTTTCTAATCCCTTCTTTCCTTTGAGAGAAAATGGCATTGCTTCAGATACTGGTCGTTTGAAAGAAACACCTTCTGCACACCCCTCTACAGTGAGCAGTACGACTTCTTCCTCAATCCTTAAGTTACCACCTTAATAATAATATTTATCTGATATGAGTTCAATTATATGTTTCCCGACCGTTGTTGCTACCTTGACGTGGTGGTCGGGCTTGCCTATCGTGATGAAGCAACCGAGCTATACTGGCTGGAACAACCGTTCCTCAAGGTTCTGCCATGTCAGACAGGTCGGTTGAAGAGCGGTAAGACTAAAAGCAACAAACCCAAGGTCCGAAGGCGAAGTCGTACTGCTGACTGTACAGAGGTGTGGCAGCAGTAAGGTGTTTCCTTCAGACAACCAGCATGACAGCGATGCTGCCTTCCCACAAGGAGGGGTGGGGTTAGAAAAGGTCGACCCTAAAAATGCACACCTCACCTTACCTCACGGATTTCCGTCTCCGGCGGTAAGGCCCTTTGAAGAACGGAGCTAACACATTAAAAACCTCCCACGATAAGTCCGTGCGCGACTGGCCTCAAGCAGTTGTCCCTTGGGCACTGCGGTCACGCTCTCAGGTCACTGAGACCACCTCTAATCCAGTTTCCTTTTCAGGTACCTCCAGAAGAACCCTTCCTCGGTGTGGGCAACCGGGAAGTGATAACCGCCCTCATACCTCTAACAGCACTCGAGACCACTGTATTCATAATCAACCTTCCTCTTCAATTCCTATTATTCCTACTACATCGACTTTCAACTCTAAACTTCCTCTTTCGGCTTCCTCCTCAAGTGTCACCATAGCCAACGATTCTAGTGCTCAAAACCCTGTCCCAGGTCTACTGAAACCTCGCTCCAAACTACACATTGGAGCCTTCAACGTACGCACCCTATGTCAAATCGGTCAGCAGGCTTCCTTGGCTAAAACCCTAGAGTCTCTTTCCATTGATGTATGCTGTGTCTCCGAAACACGCATGCAGGATTCCAGTGTGGTCATTCACTTGACCTCACCTCGGCAAAACGGAGAGCCAACGAGATACACCCTTCGTGTATCTGGTGACTCGATGGCCAGTTCTCGTGGACTGGCAGGTGTAGGCATAGCAATAAGCATGAGGGCGGAACAAGCACTGAACTTCTTCAGAAAGCTAAACGCTCAGACATAGTACTCATAGGGGGTGACTTTAATGCTCAGATAGGTAGCTTAAACCAAACA